TATGCCGGGCGACATGCTGTGGGGGTGGATGTGGCGCTCATTGGACTTTTGCGGCAACCCCAAAAGTACTTGTTATTCCTAATTTACAGGTGAGGAAACAGGAAATTAACTTGCCCGGTGCCGTAAAGTCAATACGTGGCGGAGCTGGAATCTGCATGCAGCCCTGTCTGACTTTTCCTGCTGTTGGCTTTTCCAACCCTGTCCCAACCCAGAACACGAGTGCAGCCTTAGCAGACACAAGACCCACCACCGGTGTAAATGTGACATGTCAGAATTACGTGCTCCTGTCATTGCTATGTTCTTCTGTTTACTCAAACTTGCAAGGAAGACCCTGCTGAATGTTCAAATGGCTCCAGCATAATAATTGCATAGTATATTACTATTATTTCTCTCGAGTCTGTATTTATGGGGAAACAGGATACAAGTGTGTCTTACAGGCTGAAGATTGTTCTGTTAGCCCAGTGATTAGAGAGAACCAGAGGGTGGAGAGATGGTAAGGGAGGGAGAGACTTGCACTGGCAAATCCATGCAAAACTCACCTATTAAAGCGATAGTCAAAGTGATCTTTCCAACCATCTACTGACCCTAACGACATATAGTAGACAGGAGTCATCATAAAGCCCAATAAAGCAAGGTTGGCGAGCGACAGATCTCACCAGTAAAGCCTGAAGGCTAATTCAGAAGGTGCATCTACAATAAAAGCACGATGCTACCACCACCAAGAAAATAGCCAGATATCCTGCAAGGCACTTGACATTTGTCATGATGTTTCATGATCCTAACAACTCTCTATGACAAATACTAGCATTATCCCCATTTTAGAAATGAGAAAACTGAGGAACAGAAAGACTGAGTAACTTCCCTAAGGTCCAACAACTATCAAGTAACAGCTTTCCACGCTGCAACCCTCCAGATACCCACGGGCCATACAACCAACAGGTCTTTTCCAAGTCCACAGATTTGCTCTCCGCTCTTCCAATTTCTGATGCTTAAACTTATTTCTTTAAAGCTTGTACATTTCCTGCAGCTTGAAAAGATGGGAATGGCATTTATTAGCAGAACAAAGTGGTCTGGTGATGAGAACACAATCCTAGAAGTTAAGTACGAGAGAAATACCAACCTCCTTTCAGGCAGCCCATGCTCAGCAATGGCTGGTGCCCTTCTTTCCCATAAACCCAGCTAACGCTAAAGCCTCATCCCTGGCTTACAGACCTACCACACAGTGGCAAGGATAGCCACTGACCTTTGTTTAGTCCACCGGTTCCCAAATATATTTAACTACAAAAGGCTGTATTGAGAAACACCCATTCCACATTCCAAACAAACTTGGGGAAATGTTCACCTGACCTCCAAGCTTCCAGCACAAAAGTAGGGAATACAGGGAGGAGGAGCCAGAAGGGGCTTACCTACGGTGAAGGTCCAAGAGCAGCATGATACTGTGTCACTCCCGGCTCCTTTTCCAAGGGGTCTGCTCTTGGCAGCATGCCCAAGTGGCCCCTGGCCTTACACAGACCCTGAGCCCAATAGGCTCCCACATGAGAGAACATTTAGGAAGCAACGTCCACTGCCCCTTGGGAATCCCCACTGGCTTTCCACTCCAGAGATTTGGTTTATAATCTGAGAAACTATTATAGAAAAGACAAGCGTAACAAGGAAGCTGGGACACAGATGATCAAGAAGGTCAGAAAGGGGGAGAAATCTTCCTAGGACCTGGCCCTTGCCAGCCTATAAACTCCTGAAGGTTAGGTGTCTTTGCAAACCCATCCCCAGCAGGTCTGGCCCACAGTGGGTGCCGAATTGATGATGGGGAGGTAGCCATCTGAGCCCTGTAAGAGGAAGACTCCACCTGGCCCTGGAAATGATAAACACAGCCCCCTAGGTGCCCATGGAGTTTGAAAGTTTATAAAGTACTCTCTTGGGTGTTCTATCATTGCCTCCCCACTGAAAATTAGGTATTCTTCTTCTTTCTTCCAGTATACAAAAGAGAAAATGGGGTTGTGAAAAGATGAAGGTCCAAAATCACAAGACGGTATAAGTGGTGACCAGGTCCCTGGATTTCAAATTTCCCATCAGGAGCCCACCTGTACACCACCCTGCCACCTGCTCCATCTGTTGGGGGTTTCAAGATCTGGCCAGAAATGGAAAGAGGAAAAGATGAAAGGAAGCGTAACTTGGCAGCCCTGGTGGTACAGAGAGGGGAGGATTTGAAACGGAAACAGCAAAAGGCATTTTAAATGAGCAGAGTCTGCTATGGTCTGAAGGTGTCCCCGTCCAAAGTTCAGATGTTGCCAATGTGATAGGATTAGGAATTGGGACCTTTGAGAGGTGATCAGGCCCTAAGGACTTCTCTTTTGTGAATGGAATTGAGGGCTTCATAAAAGAGGCTTCGTACAGCACGCAGATGGCTTGTCCTTCTGCCCTCCGCCATGTAAGAACACAGTGTTCTTCCCTTCCAGGGCTGCAGCCCTCATCAGGCAGCTGAACCTGCAGGTGCCTTGACCTTAGACCTTCCAGCCTCCAGAACTGGGAGAAAATAAATTTCCGTTCTTTATAAATTATTCACTCTCAGGCATTTTGTTATAGCAGCACAAACAGGCTAAGATGGAGTCTCAGACCGCAGCTGAATTGGCTTTGAGAAAAAGAAGGACTCAGATGGGACAGAAAGGTGTCTCTCCCCACTGCCAGCAAATATGCCCATGACAGCATTGTTGCTCTGGACTAGGGAGCAGCAGCCCTGGGATCTGAGGGCAGGTTGGATATGGAGGTCCTACCAGGGCACCAGACATTGCCCTGCCAGTGGGCAGCTCATCTTGGCACCAGGTGCTGCTGTCCATAGTCAGTGCTCACTTCCACAGAGCTCCTTGATGGTTAGGTTTGTAGAGCAAGAATGTGCACTTCAAAGACATGCCGTGATGCCAGTCTTGCTCCAGAATCAATCACACGTGAGTCTCTTGGTGCTGAGAACAAATGATGTTGTTCAAACCGCTGCATGCTGTTCACACTCACACTATGCTTTTCTCGGAGATCCTGTGAGGCTGGGACTCCCAGGGCCGCAGCTGTGGGCAACCAGTCACACCAGTTCGTTGCCAAGCATACGGCCTGGCTCCTCAGGCATCCTGAAGATGGAGCATCAGCAAGGTTCCTCCATGTTCCCAAGCTCTTCCCGGTGCCCAGGAGAGAGTATGTGTGCATGTGGGTGTGTCCAAAAAAAGAAGGGAGACACTGGATGAGGGGTCAGCCCTGCCCTCCTCCACGTGGCTGCCCGCTTAGCTTCCGCATGTCCCAGCTAGAGCTGGACATTGACTTGGCTCCTTCCAGCTCTCCTCTCCAGGTCCCCGTTGCCGGTCCTGCAGGCACCGGCTGGGCTGTGACTCCAAGAAGCTAGAGCCCCTGGGCCACCTGGGGCCTCTTCCTGACAGTGAAGACTACAGATGCCCAACGGCAGATGCCGGCGGGTGCCACCCCACTGGCAGCACCAGCTGAAGATCCTCACATCCCTCCCGCTTCTGAGGGTGCCCAGAAGACAGAGGCTGTGGCTGCCTGGAGCATGCAGCTCACGCTTTCTGAAGCCTTGCCGAAGGGGGGAACCGGGCCCTCAGCTCAGGGTGGGTCTCAGGCCTGGCTTCCCCTGCGTCCAGTCCAAGCGTCCCATGGCTCCTTCTCCTTGCTTCTGTGATGGACCAGCAAGACTGTAGCCAGCAACTCTCCGGGATGAACAGATCCCCCAGGGCCCCTTTTGCCACCAGGTAGCTTCCACGGAGGGCTGTGCTGGTTCAGTAGATGGGACATGAGGCTTCACCTGAGCCGAGTTCTTATCTGACAGGTGAGCCTGTCGGCAACACAGCTGGGTTCAGAACGGGGTCCTCAGGCTTTGAATGCAACCAGTCAGCTTCCAGCCTGAACAGCTCGGTCTTCCACCGGCTTTTGGAGATTAAATCCCCTTTTTGCATAAGCACCTAAGGAGACTGGAGCCTACAGAGGGCCAGCTTGGAAAAAGGAAGGAGGAACATCTGATCAGAGGAAGGCCTGGGGTGTGGCTGCCCTCGTAGACCATGTGGGTGAGGAGGTCCGTGTGAGTGTCCATGAGCATGGTGACACTGAGGGCCTGCTGGGGGACCAAGAGGACCTGACGGGTCTGGAGGTGAGAACCCAAGAGACCAGGAGGTCCTGCTGGGGCACAGATGGCAGACCCCTCCCCACGGTTGCCTGGCTACCCAGATCACACATGCTCACAGAGCGCTCTGTAGTCAGGAGCTTTCGGGCTGGGTCTCTTCAGCAACTTCTTGCCTTGAATACTGCTAGTGATGATAAACTCAGCACCTCCCAAGACAGTTCATGCATGGCTCCCTGTACTGTCTCACCTGTTGAATAGATAACCATCTCCCTGCAACTTCTACCCTTCAGGATGATCCTTCTTGCTCACGACATCCTTTCAAACGTCACCCCATGTGTCGCTGCCTCCAGCCCTTCCTCCTCCTGGGCCCTCTCCCCTGCTGGAACTTGAGCAGAGCTACTTCAGCTGCTCTACAAACAGGGCTTCTTTATGGGCGTGGTTTACAGTTTAAAGGGTCTGAAGGCATTAGTGCCGCCCAACATGACTGCCCCTGTGGTCCCATGCTGTCTCTGGGCTGCGGCTCCCCCACCCGTAGATGTGCAAATGCCTGGCTCTCGTCAGCACCCAAGGACAGGGGCTACTGCCCCCAATGGGGAGGCCCAGGGCCCTCTACTCTGCTGGGTCCCAGCTGGCTCTGCTCTGCTCATATGAACGTAGTGGCCTGGGGCTGCCGAGCTGGCCCACACACATTCAGGACACGCCTGTGCCGCTCTTGAGTGTGGTGTGGGCCCCGTTGGCACCGCACTGGGGGCTGGGCATCCTGGGGACTCAGAGCAGGATGGGCGATGCCCACAGAGCGCACCAGGCACGAAGCGTGTGGGAGGCGCCTGTGGTCCCCAGGTGGAGGGCAGGCCGGGGTGGCGGGGCGCGGCCAGCAGGCACTCACAGGGCAGGGTCTCGGCGCTGTTCTTCTGGATCATGATGCAGAGCTGTAGCACCAGTTGGGGCGCGCTCTCCAGGAAGGTCTCCAGGAGGCGCAGCATGTTGACGTCTGCATATTCGTACATCATAGCCCAGTAGAAGCGTCGCTGGTGTTCCTTCCGCCGCTGACTCTGAATCCCCAGGTACATGGTGCGGATATACCTGCCCAGAGAGATGGGGAGAACACAGAGAGTGTGGGTGGGCGTGGGGGCTGCAGAGGACCCTTGTCATCCCCCTAAAACCAAGAGACCCAGCAACCCCCACTACCCTGCACTCCGAAGTTCCCAGAGGCTTGGACAGGGCTCTGGGGGCTCTCCACAAAAAGACATGACGCTGAGGCATGGGGGTGGGGCGGGGCTGGTCAGGAAAGGCGGGGCTGACCCCTCGTGGGCCCCTAGGCAAGTCCTCCTCCTCCTGGTTTCCATTCACCCATCTGGAGAATGAGACAGTGGAGCCAGATGCCTTCCCAGGGCCTGCAGGTAGGCATCTCAGGTGAGCTCAGGGACGGGGGTGGGCTTTCTTAGCTTCAGGACCCCGGGGGAAACAGTCCAGCAAGGTTGTCTCCTCTGTTGTTCTGGAGGAGGAAAGGAAGGGAAGGGAATGAACATTTGTGAAGCTCCCACTATGTGCCATTCACTGGCTGGCCATGCCCAGGTGCCAAGTGGGAAGGTGTCATTCTCATGTGTGACGGACAGGAAACAGCACAGGCTCAGAAAGGTGGCCCCCCTCCGCACAGGCTCCTGTGGCTGGATAGTGGAACAAGCAAGGATCGCACTAAGGCCACTGGACAGCCTCCCTGGACATCAGGGGGACTCCGGGCCTGCCCTGGAGTCTGTCTCAGCAGGGCCCAGGACACAGGTTCAGATCGGCTGCCCACCCTCTGACGACCACGCCCAGGCTCTGTGTGGGAGGGCCAAGGGGCCGAGGAAGCAGGTAGTGGGAGAGCACAGGCTCACAAGTCTCATCCCTTGCTGAGTGGGGGACCTTGAACTAGTTATTCCAGCTCTGTGTCCTTGTTACTCGTCTTTCAAATGGGGACAGAATGAGAGCATCACAGGGTGCGTGGGAAGATTAGTGGGATGATATGCACAGCGGGCATCCCCCCAGGCCCGCATAACAACCCCAGCCTCATTTCCACACCAGAACTCTGGAACTGTGTCTCCAAGGCAAGAGAAGGACTTAAGGCACCATCCAAACTCAGCCAGCAGCCTCCAAGGCTGGGCCAGGGTAGCGGGTGTGGCAGGGCTTGCCTGGAAGCAAGGGTCAGAGGGCACAGCTCTGTGCACCCAGTCAGGATCAAGAAGAGGAACCATAAACTGGGTGCCACCGCCAGGAGGAGTGAACCCATACACCTGTCCCTGACCGTCCCGCGAAATGCACGTTCTAGGCCCCACTACTGTGCCCTCTGAAATGCCGAGCCTGACTTGTAAAGATTCAGTGCATGGCTGACGCCCTATCCAAACCCAGCTGGCTTTGGGTATTACCAAGGACCCACTCGGGGCTGCTGGATGGTCCGTTCTGTCCCTGGTACACCGCCATCCGGGTCCCAGCCACCGCCCCTCTTGCCTGGAATGATGCAGAAGTCTCTCACTGGTCCTCCACTGTCTACTCTTAACCCAGAATAACCCATGCTTCACACGGCGACTGAGCCACAGGGTGACCTCAAACACGCATGCCAGGTGCAGTGAGCCCTGCTCGCCATCTGATGAGGGGTTCCTGGCTTCTCTCTAAATTCCTAAGGGCCTTTGCAGGGGTGTATCATGAAGGGACCTGGCCGGGGTAGCTGGGATGGACACCTCATTTCTCTCCAGACCCACCCCCTGGAGTGAGCGGAGGTGTAATCCTACTGAGAACCAGTGTGAGGCAGGCATTGCAGTGACAGCCCCATCAGGGAGGGGCATGGGAGGAAGTTTGGGGTACAAGGCCCCCAGCCAGGTCCTTCCAGGTATACAGTCTCTGGGTCCCTGGCCTACCTTGCAGGTCAGGTCTGGTTATCACCACTTAACACAGGGGGAAACTGAGGCTCTAGCATGAAATAAAGCTAGATTCATAAATAAATAATAAATTCTGGTTCTGTTCCAGGTTCCGCCACCTGCTGACTATGGCATTTCCACAAGGCATTGCCTTGCCCTGGGTCCCCTGCCTGTGAGTTCACGAAATTAAGGAACCAGGGAAGAGGCTCAGGAATAGGAAGGGGCAAGTTGCACCCGGTCTCAGAGCACTAGGAGAGGAGGAGGGAGAGATCCAGAGAGACAGAGGCAGAGACATAGTGAGACAGACACACAGAGACAGACAGAGAGACAGAGACAGAGGCAGAGACATGGACAGTGAGACAGACACACACACAGAGAGAGAAGTAGGAAGGAGTGAAGGAGAAAGCAAAAGTGAGGGGAGCAGCATCAAGTCTGGGGATCTGAAGGGAAGGACTGCATGGAAGAGGTGATGGCAGCAAGAAACGTGTGCAGGGAGGTTCCAGAAGCAGATGTCATCACTGGTACTTTGGGAGGGACTGAGGTGAGCCCCTGATGGAGGGTGATGGAAGGGTCGGGTTGATCAACCATGGCGGGAGTGTGGGGAGGCAGCGCACTGGGGACAAGAATGCTCCGGCCGAGGAACCAAGGCAGGGCTGCATGCCAGAGCTTTGGCACTCATGTCCAGGACAGCCACATGCCCAGCAGAGCCTCAGTGCCATGGATCTCCCAGATCGGAGCTGCTCCCTGGACCCAAACCCAGCTCTCCCGACAGGTGGCACCTTCAGCACACAAGCCACAGATGACTCCAGGCCCCAGAACACAAACCTGATGGTCTCAGATCACAGAGTCTGCCTCTTCTAGTCTTACAGGTGGCCCAGCAGCTGAAGGAATGGTTATATGGCAGCACTACCCCTATCCTTCCGGGTCCCACGTCACCCAGGTCTGCCCTACCAGGGCAAAGGGGGCACCGGTTCCACTCCTCCACCCCACATTTTCCCCAAGCCGCGGGCCGCTCTGCCCACTAAGGCCAGGGCAAAGGAAACCAATGAGCCCAGAATAATTCAACTGGAATGCCTGCCAAGGGGAGCCAATCTTGACACTCTCCTGGGTGTGAGCATGCCAGGGTGTGGGAAGAACCACGGTGGTTATAGGTAAAGCGGGCGCCACTCCTCCTTAAGCCAATCAGCAAGCAGATGCTGGGGCCTAGAGAGCACCAGGGGCCAGGCAGAACTGAGTTTGGACAGCATGGTGCCTCCCAGGTCACCCACCAGGCACCTCCCGGACACAGTAGGAGCTGATCAGACACCCTCACGCCTGACCGCCAGGCCTCAACGCAAGCGCCCATCCTTTCCCACCGCCCCGCTCCTGCCCCTCCTCTGCTACTCTTAAGTCGTTGGGTCCCCAGTAGACAACGAAGGGGTACTGGTTGGCAATATGATTAGGTCTGGACCCACTTTATAGGGGATGACACCAGTGCTAGAAAGCAGGCCACCCCTGCCTCAGTCACTCAGTGCTGGGAGACCCAGGCAGGACCAGAACCCGGGCAGACCCGCGACACGTGTCTCCCACAACACGTGTGAAGCCCCTGCCTCTCATGCCGGAGGGTCCTGGCAGCTCTAGGATTCTTCCTCCTCCCAGGTTTCCCGGGTGTCTGTCTCCCTCAGGATCTAAGGAGCTGCCAAGAAACAACCAGGCAGATGGGTGGGGTGGGAGGAGGAATAAGGCATGCCCCTCTTAAGCCCCTGGGCCAGCGCCGCTCTCCCTCGGAATCTCAGTTTCCTGCGTGTAAAACCCAGAGTGCCTGTGTGACCTCTGAGGCTGCGCTGCCAGCCGCCCCCCGCAGGGCCTCCCATCCCCTCTGCGGAAGCGGCCCCGGCCCGCAGTCACACGGTGGCGCCAGACCCTAAGCGTCGCGGAAAGGCGGCTCCAGGCGGGTGATCTCATCCCACAGGCCCGGGCCCTCCTCTGCCACCGCGTGGGGTGCCAGCCTAGAGGTGCGCTCCGAGGGGGGAGGCCCTGCGTCTTCAGGAGACACAGGATTGGCTGTCATTCCTCCAAGCCCCCTCCTGCTCCACCTTCCTGGCGGGTTCCAGAAAGCTCACGGCACCCTTCCCAAGAGAAGACACCAACTCTCCTCCCAGATTTGCTCCCACAGTGGATGTCACCGCGTGTCACGCCATGTCTCCCCTAGTAGCCTCGGATCATGAAATGCACGGGGGCGAAGGCAGCAACGCCACGTGTCCTCATGGAGCACGGGATCAAGAAAGCTGGGCCTGGTCTCTGGTCTACAGGACTGGGCCACCTTGGGGAGGGCACCTCCCGTGGCTGGGTGCCGCTACTCACCCATCACAGGAGGGGCAGGCAGGAGGGCTCTCCAAGCCTCTGCCAACATCTTATGACTTCGTCTTTCTTCCAGTGAGTGACCTCGCAGAGCACAAAGGATGGCCTCACATCTTTGCAAACAACAATGCCGGATGTTTGCGTGACACTCTTTTGTGCCAGGCACTGTTCTGGGCATGTGGTACGTATTACCTCATTTAATCCTCACAGCACACCTATGAGGTAGCTGCAATGTTGCCTACCAATATTCATTTAACAGGTGCAAGATTACCTACCAATATTCATTTTACAGACAGCAAACAGAAGCACTGAGGTTAAAACATACACCTTGCTCTTCCCAGCTAAGTAGCTGAGCAGGGCTTCAAGCCCAGGCAGTCTGGCTTGGGGAGCAGTGCTGTTGTTGGCTGCTCCTGCCCACGCATCTCCCAGAGGTAGACCATGTGTCTCCTTACCTCTGAACTCAGTCCAACCTGCATGACAGTGGGGAAGAATAGAGTTTGCCCAAAACACCTGGGCTCCCTTCCAGTTCTGCCACCTGGCTGTGTTACCTTGAGGGACATCTCCTAACTTCTCCGAGCCTTAGTTTCCTCATGTATGAAATGCCTAGTCCAGAGTAGAACCCCAGGACATGTTGGACGAATGAGCGCATACCATATTCCCCCCTCGGAGGGTCACAGGGACCTTAAATGAGACCATGCCTGTGACGACAGATGAGAGGTTAGAAGTCACCACGCAGATGACAGTCATTACTGCTCCCTGAGGTGCTCTGTCCCTGTGTTCCCTTCAGCCCACTCTGTTTATATCTTTTGGATTCTATCTCTTTCCCTTACTTTGTAAGTCACGGCATTG